TTGCGCGCTTATCGTCAATAAATTGAAAAAAAAACATTATTGCTCCTCCAAACGTATAATTATTATTTTCATAGACGTTGCGAAACACGACCGATCCGCTTCGTGCTGTCTTCGGCTGCAAACGCTCGCATTTTGTATGATTTTATTCGTATCACTGTATACGATTATTAGATTATTATATATGTTATTTATTATACTGTTATAATTCTGTATACCTTTGTACACTACATTAAGCATAGTAATAATATAATTCGCAGCTACACCCGCCGCAGCATATATTAACAATGTTTAATATTTTAATAACATACAAATCTACCCATATAATACCTAAGTACCAGCTACTGCGACAGTTTATTTCAAGACGTATATTATGTAATTTAATACAATAATAAGTGAAATATTATACCTATATTATATAGGTGGCTGAGGTTACGCAAGTTTGATTTCTGATCGAGTTGAGACGTCGTCGTCGCATCGCACATAAAAAAAAATATCTTATAAATAATAATAATAAAAAATTCGTGTCGTTTTTATTTTTACGATCTTATATAGGTACGCGATAACACTATATTTATTCGTGCCCACGCTGACATCGCGAGATCGTAAGACCGACAAATTGGCAGACGGCCGACCGCGACACGCAGTGCAGGTATGTAATATGTATGATAGTACTTGTACTTGTACGAGTTGTACGTACAGTGTTTGAGTGCAGAAACGCAGTTTTGCGGTACGAATAGGAATATATTACAATAATTATTATAAAGTGAGACGGGGAACGAAAAAACACGTGTTTAATAAGACATATAATAATAATAATATAATATGTAACTGTTTTTTTGACCGAGTTTTCAAAACTAGAATCGCGGGCAGTGTTGTAGAAATCGTATATGCCTCGTAACGGTTTAAACGAAATATCGCCCACGCATTAGTAAATTACATATTATTATTATGTATATCTATATAATATAATATATATGTATATTATAATATATTATATTGGCCGAGTGGTCGACGACGGAGTTCGACGGTTGCTCAACTCCGTGTTGTATACAATAGTCATAGTAATAGTAATAATAATAACATTTAATATATATAATAATACGATAGTAATATAATACGCAATACTCGAAGTCCGCCGCCGCCGGTTGGTTTTTAGCTATATACTCTGTGCACAACTAGATATATATATATATATATTATAATAACAATAATAATAATAGCAATTTCTTATAATATATAGACACACACACACACACACACACGCACAAGTAGATAGAGTGAGATACGGTTGCACGATAAACGCGATTCATCCGGCAAATGCGCCTCTGAGTTGTTGGTCGGTCCGTGATGACGCAATACCGTTTTTCTGTCACGACCGTCGGGGGAAAAAAAAACAAAAAGTAATATAATAATAATTATGTGTAATAATATTCCGCGGAGAAACCTCGCGAGAGATTCAAATGAGTTGGCGAGAGGTTAGGTCGAAACGCATATAATATAATATAATATTATTATAATAATATATAAAACGTATACATAGCGTATTGCACACTGAAAAACGAGATGAAAAAATCTCATATCATTGATATCATAATATTATTCGCTATGTCCACCGCTCGTCGTCGATACGTATGCCTACAATGCATATAATATAATATCTCGTTATACTTTTCTCTTTCTCACCTCGTATGTATGCAGTCACCTATATATATACGATTTACGGATAATATTCGATTCCGATATACAGCACGCTCGTGTGTGTGTGCGTGTGTGTGTGTGTGTGTGTGTAAAAATATTGTGTATAGCTATAATAACATAGTATAAGTCGTAATGTATACCGTACATAAAATATATCTTTCACACGTGTGTGTGTGTGTGTGTGTGTGTGTGTGTGTTATTGGCTTGTACACGCGCTACATTTTATTTATTATATTATGGATATTATAGCCGGGTAGGTATATTACACAGAAGCCAGTAAGGTACACGGCGGCGGCGGCGGGTGGCGTAGGAGTGAGATCGACCGCGGAGGCGAGACGGACGCCCGAGGGGGAGCGAGACCGGCCCCGTGCGAATCGAGTAAAAGTCCACAATATATATATAAATAATATTATTATTATTATACCTAGGTATATAGGTATTGAGGTACACACATGTATAATATATGTATAGTCGGCGGAGACCGCAAGACAGATTAGATATAGCCGACGGCGACATTATACTATATATTGAGCTCTCGCGCGAGTGTGTACGTATATTATATTATTATATTATATATATATATATATACGAATAACACGCGTAATATAATATTTATATATGAACATGTGAGTATGTGTGTGTATGTGTGTGTGTGCGTGTGCGTGACTCGAGCAATTAACGGACTATATATATATGTATATATATAATATATATATATATGAGTAAATATGTGTACATAATAAGTGCGCGTGTGTGCGTAAAATGCGTACCAAGAGGTGTATATACATATATTATATACTTACACATGCCTGTATATGTATAAAATATATCGTATGGATATATTATAACCTACAGAGTTTTCACAAATCGCGGTCTGTGTCGCTGTTTTTCTGTGCGCTCGAAGTAAACCGAGCGTATGTATAATATTATATTATCCTATCCAGCACTCTCTCAGAGTGTGTTTTATACTTTTATACACACATTCATATATATATACACATATAATATTATAATTATAATAACATATTATATTTTGTGTGTGAGTGTGTGTGTGTGTGTGTGGAGTGCACATCACTGCAGTAATTGGTTTCATGGTGAAGACGCGCGCGACGACGGTCGTGCTTGGAAAGCGGATATAAGGAGAAACGGCCGTACATAACAATATTAATACATTATACCGTTTATACCTACGTTGGTAACCAACTATAATAATATTGTACCCGTGTATATACCTATACCTATAATACGTCTTGTATAATATGGTACCGCCGGTACACTCGTGTGCGCCTGACGACGATGTATAAATTATATGGTGGCGCGGAGGAAAAAAAATTAATAAATGATCGTTTGTGCGGATTCACCGCGGTATCCGCATGTTTTTATGTACCTATAAAATGTAAGATGCACGCGTATAACATTATCGTATTTCGTTTCCTACACTCGTACACCTATATATCTATGTAGACGTTTCCCAGATATATAGTTGGTTTTCGAACGCAGCCTGCTCACGTTTTCGTCGGCAGTGTCTAAATGTAGCGCGAATACTCCAAAAACACGAAGCTTAGAACATCGTGCCCACCCATAATATCATCTGCCTTTAGTTGTAAACGTCTCGTCTTGTGCTCACAACAGTTTTGTGGCGGTGAAAAGGGGAACACATGTGGTATTAACGGCGATTAACGCGGAAACGAATATACACGGAGACTTCCGCGTGGTCGGGTATATTGTTGTGATTATAAAATTGAAACGTCTTGTGCAGAAATAATACACCATATACACCATGAAGCTAGCACTAAAACGAAACCATTTATAGGTTATATTAGTCAAACTCGTATAATACCGATTCACGATTTTTCGTGTATTCTTCAGAACGCCGCTCCAGTGCGTGCGAGTTGATGGAGAAAGAGTAGAACTTATTAGAAGATAATACATTATTATAATATACGACCATTCCGATATCTTATTATTATGGTTTTAGGCGGCGGTCGCACTCGTCCTACAGGGGGTGTGGGGGGAGAAATGTGTGTAATACAGAAACATTGATTAGCGGCGTCGGGCACGTTTAGTCGCGGCCACTTCTTCCCTCGTTAACGCACAAACTCCTCTGCCGCGACCTTCTCGAACAGAACGATTTCACGGATATTGCCCTCGACCGGCGAGTGTACGGGTCCCAGTAGACCGTGGCCGACGATTATTATATTATTATATATTGGAGGCGGACGATGGAGGCGGTGCAAGTGGTGGTACTGCCATGTCGATGTGCATGCGTTGAAAAAACAAATCTCGTCTACTAGTATATATAGACACGTTTTTTTCGTTCGCCCCGTTCCTCCGAGAATCCGTGAAATCGTGTACGCGTAAAATAATAATAATATGTGATATATAGTAATATAAGTAGCTGGTGATATAGTTGGACGATTATAACAATATATTTAGTGTACGCGGCGGTGGCGGTGACGGAGCGGACGAAAAAAAATTGTGCGCAGTCTGAGATGACTTGTCGAAAACTTGTCTACGCTATAATATAGTATATTATGCACGGAATCGTCTTCTCCGCAGAATGAAACGATTTAGGTACATATAATAATATTATAATGTAAAAATACATGCACAACAAGTGCAACTCGCTTAACAATACTATTTGATATTAGTATAGTATATCACATTAAATGTATACGCGTATATGGAACCCACGATGCGTTCACCCCCACCCTACGACCGAAACGCCGCGGTGGCCACCTTGTCCTTGTCCTTGGGAATTTCGGATATTTTCAAATTTTCTCGCGATAGGTTCCTATTATATTATATTATTATACCGTACACACATATATTTTACGAAACTTTACACGCGCGATATAGCCAGTCGATTATACGCGCATTTCACCGGGCTATAATCATTACCTATATATTATGTTTTAGTTCTCACGTTGTGTTATTATTCGACGAGACGATCATTTGATTGAAACCCATACACGACGAAAACGACGAAGACGACGAAGACGACCAATAGACCGCCGATTTGACACGGTGTGTCTTTATATCGACGGTCGGATCTCTATTATAATTGCTATTCACGTTACTCGCATCTCTCGGCCCGACCCGCGCGTCCTCCCGAGTCCGTCTCACTCTTTGTTTCCATCTTTCCCTCTCTCGCTCGTTATTATTATTATTATTATTATTATTATTATCATCATCATATACGCTATATTATACTATATGTACATGCGCCTTATAACTATTATAACGTAATAATTATTACCGTCGTGGGACGGTATAATTTATGATTTTATTTTTTTCCCTACCTTCTCTGCGCATGCCCATTTTCAGACACTTTTTCAGTCGACAGTACTGACATTGGTTCCGGTGGTGTTGGTCGATGGGACAGTTCCGGCTGCCCCTGCACGAGTACGTGAGATTCCGTCGGACGCTCCTTTTGAAAAAACTTTTACAGCCTGAAAAAAAACAGAAAACAGAAAACGGTTAACATCCACTTGATTATAATATTATTATAGGCGTATAGCTATTAATTATTGATTATTGACAATCGGCATGCAGACTTAATAATAATATTTATTGTTAACGGTTGTCGTATAAAATGAACTTTCTTTGGGCGTTTGTTTACACACGATTCGCATAATAACACGCGAGCGTTTCATAATATTATATATGTAGTTTGACAAGTATATCAATTAAGTTACGTTGTTATAAACCAGTCTATTACCGGAGTATATATGTAGTGATTAAGACATTTAATGTACAACTAATATTTGTCTATCACTACGTTAAAAAAACGTGGGTCGTTTAAACGTGAAATCTAATTAGTAATAATAAAATGGATTATACACCGATAGGTATATAGGTACAATTATATTAAATTCTACATAACTTATAATTAAGCTGTATACACCTTTCGACCGATATGATATAATAAGGAAATCAGTAAACACCATTCCTCGTTTGATAATGTAGCATTTTTCTATTGTGCTCATCGATGAAAAGTAAAACGACCATCTTTTAGATGTCAATCATTAGCATATTATAATATAGGGTGTCTATATAATAAATAAAAAAACTGGTTCTGTATCATAGTGGTTGGGCATATAAATTATGGAATGAAAAGTCATATACGCATTTCTTTGGAATTATTTACCCTGATCATTATATAGTGATTCATAGTAACGTCAGTGTTTAAAATATTGATGTATGATGTGATATACATATATTATATTGTTATGTATGTACGAGTCTTTGTAATTCTATTCATACCTATACCGACGGACGTGCACTTTAATGATATAATATAAAAATTTGATACTCAAACATATATAAAGTAAAATATGATTTCTGTACAGAGTATGGATTTGTATTATGTCTTATGTATATAGTGTGGTATTGTGAAATCATTTCTTATTCATTATAGCGAGTGATGTAGACTACCTACTCTACCTATACAGCTACTATTGAAAAAAAAAACTAGTAAATAATTACACGCCATATAGGTAAAATGAAATTTCATTTCCTACTTCGTGAATTGAAATAAATGCAATTTGAATACTGCAGTACCTATATGGTAATCGACGGTGCTTTGTATTTAAATTTTATCTATGCGTTCATTTATGCTGAACGCCGTGCAGGTTATATCGTAAATCAATATTTACGTGCTAAAATATTTATAATTGAGGATATTAATCATTTTTGCATAATTTTTTAATTACACACCTAAGCTCCTATATATACTTGTATAAAAGTGTTTTGTTAAAACAATAGACATACATTATATAGTGTTCAAATGCAGGACGTTAAATTTGAAATGTAAATTTCAAAAATTATAATACTTTGAAAGAAGAATTTGGTTCAAAGTAAGAACGTAATCAAAATCACGTGGGGCAGTATAGTATGCTAAAAATTCGTTCGAATAGAAAATGCATTATAAAATGCAGTTTAACATTATATACTGGTCATAATTTAGTCCACTATAAAAAGTTCTTTATATATTTATTGAGGCTTTATGTATTTTTGTGCTGTTATGAAAAGATGTCATGCCAAAAGACAATAAAAATTGACCCATTGCACGAGTGATATTTTGTTGCGAAAACGTTTGTAGTACCGCCAGTAAGCAGGGTACTAAGCACTAAGGACTTGACAAAAGAGTTGCTGGAAATACGGTATAGGTAACATAAACTTATAAATTAGACTGGTATGTGGTTTATATTATTATCACCGAGCGGAGCGATTTCATACGCGTGATTCTATATGGGTGGGTGATGGGCGGGGTGAGGTTGATCTGCAAAGTACGTGTTTGTGTGTGAGAGTCGCAGAGACGAGCGTGTAAATAATATTTTAGTGATAATAATAACAAAAAGCTATATGGGAAAATAATAATATTCTGGTATGCGCGACAGTGGCGAAAAAAATACCAACTCTTAAATAATAGGTAAATAATAAATCATAGGCAACTGCAATGCTTCTACAAAGATGGTCGAGAAAACGTGCCCATTGTAGTAGATGAATTAATGTACTATTCATGTACTAATTGTATGCTATATATACAGAGTTATACTTTGAACGAGCTTTTTGTTTATACCTCAAGAAATATCATTACCCCGCAGTGCCGTGCGAATGGGCCCATCGTGTATAGCACGTATATCCGTGTATACCTTTATATTATAAATTCGTTATTAATGCGGCTTGATAACATTATAGTCGTACAGGTATATATTGGAACGACGTCCCGTCGGAAAAACCGAATCTGTTTTTTTCTGAGTGAAAAAAAAAAATAGAAAATCGTTCCAAGCTCGTTGTAAGATTTCTCCCTCGCACACACTCACGCACAGTATTTTAATGTACGCAAACATTTCGTGCACGTGCGCGTGCATAATGTCATAATAGACGGCGTATCATAACACACACACACACACACACACACACACACACACACACAGTATACCTATATATTATATGTATTTATATATATTTGTGTGATTATGTTATAGGTGTACGGCGACGGTAAAATAACGTGCGTGTATAACAATATAATAACAGTACGCGCACATTCCGATCACCCTGTATACATATATATATATATATATATACATACACTTATATAGGAATAAGACGTACACAATGAGGATGCGAGCAGAGACCGGTTCCCACGGCATCTCATCGCCGTCGCCGTCGCCCAGTCTCCTCTTCTCGTCGACTGCAGCCCGGGCACTCGTGTCCTCCTCAACAGGTTTGGGGGCTCGCGCCACACACACGCGCACACGGACATTAGAGCTCTTGCACATTGTAATATATTGCAGGCATCGCGCAGATTTACGCAAACCAGTGTGCGCGTGTGGGTCGCCGTGTGGATAAACCGACTAAAACGTATACCGCACCGACAACAATGATGATAACGATAACGATAATGATAATGATTATAATAATAGTAATAATAATATGGTATACGTTACGACGCGGACAACGACTGTTAGGTATATATATTATATATATATATATGTATATGTAGGACATCGCGGGGAAATGGTTCGGTGCGAGGATAGCTCTATCCTCACAAACGCCCTCGCTTCGTTCCATCGTAGTCGTCGTCGTTGCCGACAACAATAAGCCTCTCTCGATTTTATTATTATTATCATCGTCGTTTTTTTTTTTTTTTAACACAGACTCCTCGTATATGCGCTCATCGCATTCCTCGATGATAGTATATAATAATATGTATACTTTTTTTCGAGTATCATTCCTCTCTCGCCTGCTTAAGGTGGCCGAGCACTGTATTATAGGCACCCATATACACATGACAATATAGTAATAATAATATAATAATATAATACATTAATATGTTTATACGCGAGCAAGTCGGACGCGTGTCGGAGAAAGATAATATAAATAACTACGGGTTCCGGATACTTATGGGCAATAATAAAATATTAATAATAATATATAGGACGTCTGAACTCCGACACCTGCAGCTAGTAAAGCTCATAATGTGCATTTAACAGCGATTTACGCCTTATGATGTGTATCTATTACATACCTACCTAATATTATCTATTATGCTCGCAGAGATGGATTCACCAATAGGCTCACTCGCGTGTGTATAATACGCGTCATTTTATTTGTCTTTATTGTCGGAGAACCGGCATATAAAATTATGTTACGCAACTACAGCGATGTAATGGTACTCATTGACATATTTCTCAAAAGTCTTGATGTTTTTTGAAATTTTTTTTATGAATACCAGTCACAACAAGACAACATTAAAAAAAATGATTTATATTTACTTTATTCGTGCCGTTATCGAGCTTTTACTTTCTTGTACATCAGCATACATTTTTAATTTCATATTCCAAAGTAGAATATTTTTCAGAGAATTTTAATATTTAAAAATCAAATTTCGAATAAGTATACAGTTATAACTACTAATTATAATTAGTTTGAATTTGGATAAGGGGAGTAGTGGAAAACATTTTATGGGTCCCGCGGCTGGTGCAACCCCACACCTCTCATCTACACTTTAAATACCTACTCATAATCGCTGATGGGTCAAGTTCGACTAAAAAATGACAACAGCGCAATAGCGTGTTTTTAACGCCCAATGACGTTTATTAAATAAATAAAATTCACGTCCTTTATTAAAGCTATAATATTCATCATAACGCTTTTATGATACCTATGCTATATATTAATCATTCTAGAAAAAAAAAATGTTTTTGTAATGACACTTCTATCCTTCTATTATGTTATATTGTACTTCGTTAGACGATTAGTAATCATTTTATAACAACTCACCAACCATTGTGATTTATGAATATATACTTATGTATTATATTATTATTTATCGCATGAATGATGAATAGGTAATAGACTGTTATAAGTAAAAACCGATCAAAATTGTTCGTATCATTTTCTTAAAACATCATATTTTATTTTATACTACAATTAATAATGGCACCTGTACGCATATATAGGAGTAACTAAAGCTTTCATTTTGGTTAATAAATGTGCCAAACACGAAATTCTGAGATTCATTATTAGGGCTATAAAAATATCTTGCGAGCGGTAACCACCCCAAAGCTCTTACTCTTAGTTGTGCCTAAACCCATACGCAACTAAAAAATATTTATAATATGTATTATATTATATACAAGTACAATATAGTGTTAGAGTTTAATTTTAACAATTTTAACTACCTAATATACCATATCACTATATTTTGACTTTCTACTCCGATAGCGAATGGACACATTAATTCAATAATAACGAAACAAATATATAAGTTTTATCTTGGATATGACTTGCATAAATTTGACAAACATTTCTGAGTGATAACTATAAAAAGGGTGGATTGCTTATACTAACATGTACACCTATACTTATTATATTATGTATTATTATTACTCTCTCTCTGACTCTCTCCCTCCCTCTCCACATCCCTTTTGTTGACAGTGAA